TCTGTCAAATTCCTGCGAAGCGAAAATATGTCGATGTGTAATGGAATCATTGAAGCTTGACACGGTTGCCTTAACGTAATAGACATTTAATCAGGCGGAGGTTTGCCAAACAGAGGCGAACATGAACAAGTAAGTTTCAGGTTGAAATAATTACCACCAAGAAATAATATCGCCTGTCATATATCCATTCACGGGGTGAAATCTTCTTGTCAGACAAATATACAGAGTGAGTAAAAAAAAAGGAAACCCAAATAGCACGACCAATTATTTAGTGAAGTTCTGCATGTAGCACTTTCAAAATCTAGGATATGAAAGCCCAATCTAAAAGCTTTATTTAAGTACACGAATCATTTAAATCACTAGTGTACTTTTCAAGTTACGGGATTTCAAACACAAACACCATTCACATAGGGCCCTATAGGATGTATGTGAATTGTTTTTGTTTTGATGAAAGAACATTTAAAGCCGGCCGCAGGTCGACCTTGCGACGACACAGATCAGTCGGTGACTGACTTCGCAGGATCAAGCTGCGCTTGAGCTACGACCGTCAGGAACAACTCAGTCGCCGATTTTTTGCGTCCTGAGTGTAACTGCGACCTTTAAAAAAAAAACGATCGGCATCAGCCGGAGATCAAAAAAAAAATCAACAGTCGCAAGAGTAGAACAATTTCAATTTCTGCGACGTGTTCCACGACTATCACACGAGTTCACAGTTGTGTGACCTGAGCATTATTTTTGTGCTTGATTCGGACGGTTCCGTCGTGGCGCAAGCGAAGCGCGGGTCGACCTGAGGCCGGCTTAACTTTGTTTGTGATCCGTGGACGTGTTTTTTTAATAACTTGAAAACTATACATGAGTGATGGTAATGATTCTTGTACTAAAAGAAAGGGTTTTTTAATTGGGCTTTCATATCCTACATGTTCAAGATGCTAAATGCAGAACTTCATTGAAAGAAAAATGGTCATGACATTTGGATTTCCTTCAATTTTGCAGCAAACGACTGTGTGTTGCGGGGCCCTGCTGAAGATATCGGTGTGTTATTATTAATACATCGTTCCAAACAATGATATCTGTAGCGTCGTGCAAACTGTACCGCGTATTTGTTCTAGCGCCATCTCGCAAAAACCTCAAGTGGATATATCCGTGATGTAACGGCATGCCTCTCTACAGTGTGTAATTCCGTACAACAGAATCGAACTTTGCTTCTTCTTGATGATCTTGTTATAAAATCTGGGCTTCTTAAGTGTCGGTTAGCTAGGATCATACAATACCCATAAATGGTTATTCTTAATTGTCATATGTTTCTTAGTATTCAGGGAGATAATTTGTAGTAAATTTGGGGTTTTTTCTTAAGCCAATTTAATACAATGTTAGGGCCTTAAACTTTCGTATGTGTACTTTGCACATGACATGAATGTTATTTGGGGGGTATTGCAGTACATGTATAGCCTAATTATCAATCTGAGTTTGTAATGTCACTGTTGTATTGTAGTGAGCCAGTTGCTGTGTTCATATAAAGTACACGTGGAAATTGATGTTAGTTATACACTGCTACGCCACAAAATTAACACTTTTTTTTTCCAAACTTGAATTTTTAGATTCAAATAAAGCTACTAAAACTGTTTTAACAAACGGGATTTTGCAAAATTGGTACCCAGTATAATTATGGCGACAGTACAGCGCCCTCATTTGATAAGAAATTGTGGCAAATATAATCGATCAAAATCAAATCTGCAAATCACTCATGCTGCGGGCTTTAGATGTCAAGTACCGCCAAACACCAGGTAAGCACGACTTTAGGCTGAGAAGATACGCTTCAGAAGCGGTCTGGAAGAAAGAAAAAAAAAACAAAAACAAAATTATCTACACTTGAATGTTCCTAACATCACCATTATTTCGATGACTAATAATGCAATGACATATCATAGGCATATAATTCGTCACCGTTTTCACGAAGGGACGGGCATGTGGATTTTGAAGAACAACCGTTTTCGAGATAATCGCAAAAGAAGTTATCCGATTTTAAAACTGCAAAAACTACGGCTTTGCAACAATTTAATGCAGTAAGAAAACCTTTACATGATTCTATGAGAGTATTTTTTTAGTGAACCCAGTAATTAGAATTAACACAGCGGTTAATCAGTCAAAATTAATTAGTAAATATGCCCGTCCCCCCGTGAAAACGAAAGTCCACGTTTTCCTACATTTACGTCCTTTCTGTTCAATGTGTGTTTTTTTTTTTTTTTTTTTCATAGGGAAGCTGAAAATGTAACAAAAATGCCCGTTTCTTCATGAAAACGAAAGTCTCAGCTGGTTGACCTACTTTTAGGCCTTTCCGTGCAATACGTTTTGTACGCGTTCAAAAGGCAGGCATGTCTGCGTCAACCTCGTTCCCAGTGCTTACTTTATTTCCAACCTCGTTTCCAATAGTAAGCCCTGGATAGGAAACTTTCTTCCTGTATCCTGATTTGGTTAGTAATGGATGTATATCGTGTAGTTGATGTTGTTTTTTCCAACGTGCATTACGTGTTTTCACGATCATTGTAATTATAATGTCCACGCTTTCTCAAAAATACTCCTTTCCTTTCCAATTTGCTCATATTAATATGAAATGTGATATTGCATATCGGCGGGATAAGATTGTAACTCCGAAAACAATCGTGTTTTCGTAACTCACGGCGCGACGAATTGATTGTGTTTTTACCCCAGACACCGCATATAAAAACAGACGCTAATGTAACGTACAGGCAGGCACCAGACTATTCCTCATTTACATACGTGTGCAGAAATTCTGCTCGTGCAAATGATCCAATACCAGGGTAAGAGAGCAGGTAGTGGAGGGCGCGTACTTCTCAACACCCTGGGGACGAGGTTGTGTCAGCGTCTCTTCGTGAAAACGCAAAAAAAAATGCAAGTATCAAAATGCCTGCCCCTGGCATCATTACTGTTATTGAGAAATTAATGATCTTTTGAATACAGAAGCGTGTCAAAATAGTTAAGTACAGTACAATGTTTAAAAGCATAATAATTTCGAAATCGAAAAAAAAAAAAAAGTTATTTTTGACATGCCCGGTCCCTCGTGAAAACGACGACGAGTTATGGCCAAATGCTCTTCTCACCCCGGTCGCCATTTTTTTTTCTCCCAAACGACATTCACAAACATGGTTGTTGAGCGCACTCTACGATTCTTTTATGATACGCACGCAGTTATATATTTATTTGTTTCCGCACATATTGGCGAGCAGTGCGATAGCTCAGTTGATAAAGGGTAGGATTTTGCACCGCGTTTTGCGGGCTCGAATCTCGGTTTTGCACCCGATTTTGTTTTTCCTTTTCTAACCCGAGGATTTGGAGGATTTTTTTTTTAAAGGGAAATAAAGTCCGAATTTCATAACGTTCAAATTCACTTTTTTTTCTAATTTTATATTTTCTTCTCATGTTTTTTATAAAAGTTAAGTCCAAACCGCCATAGCGTACACCCGTATGTGGATGTCGTTTGGGAGAAAAAAATTCGCCCCCCGGTCAATGCTCCGACGCAATTTGCTGATTCAGTGCAGACATTCGCTTGCCCTAGGGTTGGATGATATTGAAAATCTCCCTACGCAAAGCGCACAAGGGACCCATAATGTTGCAGTTCCTCTGCTCAAAATATCCTGCAACTGTACATTAAACCTCATACATTAACTGTATTCATTGCCCTAACGGCCTGTGCTCATTTTGTTAAAGCATGATGAGAGTAAAAAGAGGTACCATGCGCGGAGCACGTACTATCGCCCAACTATTCGGTTATACCAGGGAAAACCACCTGGACTCGTTACTATGATATAGTAGCCTTCACGGAAAGAATGTTGCAACCTGACGCTGCTTCAGCAGTTGTGTACAAAGTCTATGAAGAGTCAAGACAAATTCGTAAGTATTTCCTAACAAAATTGGAAATGTTTCTCAGTCCCAGATTCATGTCTTATCATCACTTTTGCAATGACTGACTTTCATTGAGATAATATATGAAAAATAAAACAGCGTCAGGTTTCAAAATTCTTTCCGCAATCACAAGCCCTGCTGCTGATGGTACCACACTAATACCCGGTGTTGCAGGTGAGTCCATTACAAGTCCTGGCATGAGTCCAGTCACAAGTCACGGGATGAACAATGACACAAATAATAATGTTTTTGTTACAGTTCCTTTGAACAGTTCATTTGAATAGGCTGAAGGACATGTGATGCACTTGAAGGAACTTATGATGTAATCGACTATAACACCGTTAGTTTCTGAGAGAGACTCAGTATCGTATAAGCAATACGCTGGAATTTTTATAGATTATTAAACTCTTTAAATGTTTACGGAGTGTGAAACAAATACATCATCTCTTTCGGGGAAGATGTGGGGAATATTACAAAAGAAGGATGAACAAATAAGAGAACAAAATGGGTTGATGTGATAAAAGAACCCTTGGTGCGATCATTCACTGAACTCTACAGTACATGTTTATAGATTTGTAAGCAATATTATAATATTACTGCACTGACATTGAGGACAACACACACACACACGTTGACGTCGGATCGCGGAACGGCAACCAGATGAGGGCGCCCTATTTAAGCTAAGGCCATTAATATTACGCGTGTGGATTGAATTCTGAAGAAAGCAAAGTACGTACATACGGATTGAACAAAGCAGAGTAAGTCTGACTTGGGTCAAGTCTAATGAGGGCGCTATAAAAACGCAATGTTTATGTGCACAAACACTAGGCGATCTTGTCCAATGAAGCAGTTTAGCACCTTTACTTCAAGTTTAATAATTAAAGCTCGTGCATAGGTACTTGTAGAACTGTAGTAACATGTAAACGTATATTGGATACTCGTCTGTTTATACCCCTCAATGCTGGCGTAATAGCGCACTCTTTCGTTGTAGAATAAGGCGTGTCCACTTTCCCCACAATGCGTTGCGCAGAGAGCCTTGTGGCTGCCTCTAGGTGGCGCACTGTACTGAAAATCATTCATTATTTACGTAATACCACCCGAATGTCCTTGGGAGCGATGTAGCACGTCGGTGGAACCTCGAAGCCATTAAATCCACACCCAGAAGAAGTAATGTAAGCTCCCATATCTGAATGTTTAATAAAACAGATAATGAGTGCCAAAAAAAAGAAGCACGACAGGGGACTGCACTACTGACCTTAGGACGGGGATAAACAAAAAAACATGATCTATGTATTGAAGTTCTCGTTCATATTATCCTTCATATCATGGCCGCTCTTGACCATATATATTCAGCCGCAGGCGATACGTGCGCACAAGATACATACATGTATGTAAACGTTCACTGAAGGCCATTAGCTACCCATAATGCTCTGCGATGCTTTGGGAGGGGGGGGGGTCAGCGAGGCACTCATGATACGAAAACTATTTTGTTATAACCCGTTGATTACACATATTAATTCTGCCACTGAAATTTAGACTATGAAATCCGATGCCTTTTTTTTCCGTTTATTGGTTGAACGTTCACAATCCTCACGTACACATGCGTAATATTGGGCACAAAATTGGCTAAGTGTTCCCTAACGTGGTACCCTTGAACAAATCGCAGAAAATCGCACGGTAACATTTAAGAATTATTTTAAAGTTGAAGAATGTTGATATTAACTTTCACTGACAACTTTGTAATAAGGGTAAAGGTAAACTCAAGATTTATGAACGGAAATGTTTAGAGCCTGATGAGATTTTACTTACCTGTGAAATTTAAAGTAAAACGATTGCTCTGGCAAAACGCTAGAAGCAAAACCTTCAAGTGCACCGCGTTAGTGGCCGAGCCACTTTAGGGGACATCAACAATACCAGTTCATTAAATTAGAGAAAAGCTGTGAACATTGGAAACTTTTACACTGTGAGGTTTTAGGAGTACCTCAAAATTAATGAAGTGATTTGAATACTGTGGTGTCACAGCATGATGAGGGAGTTCGATCCCAAACTAAATCAGGATAAGTGTGTTGGAGGCTGCCCCAGATGGAATCACACGGAATCACCAGTTCAGTTCAATTTCAGCGATTAATGGAGAATTTATTCAATCATCAGCAAATCAGTAGAGTAACAATGAGTTAATCAGTTGCAGTTAATGAACATGATGAACAGATGTTGATCCCAAAACTTCCCCAGTATATGTGCTTTGTGTGTGGATCCCGGTCACGATGCAAAGACAGATCACCAGGCAAAAGATCACGTATAGTAAAGATCCCGTATAGTAAAGATCCCCAGGTGCAATAAATGAAGGTCTCACAGTAGACCGCGCCTACATATTGCCCACGGACAAATAAACAAGACAACACTGCGGTCAAAATACATGGTGAATGTGTACACACAATGGCGGTCAAAGGTCACACACACACAACGCGAGTTCAGACGCTGTGCGCTGTGCATACAAGTACAACGTCAGGTGGGTGTGTGTGGGAATATGCACGACTGTAGCTATGACGACGACGCTGCAAAATTGGAAAGTTAGTGAGTGAAAGTGTCACAAAAACGCAAGTTTCCCGCAAAGTTATGATAAAAAGGACACTCACCACAGGTTCCAGAGGCGCCCACCTTCCCTCTCAGCACATGATTATGCTGGCAAACAGCAAAGGAAAGGTGAATTCTCACCGAGGAAAATCCCGGCTACAAAATAAGTGACTGCCGCCCAAAAGTTGGAAGACAAGCAGTGCCTGTTTCGCGCGCTCCCGCACGATGCGGACACATCACCAAGTGTCTCTAAAATATTATTGCACCCTCAACAAAATGCTGTTACGGATTACTAACACCCGTAAATGACATAATATACTCAAAGGAACTTCCACTCACACATTATTGTCATTCTTATACAATTATAATAAGAAAATGTAGAAGAAACCCTCTAAAACTATGGACCTACTTGTTTCAAGAGTGAATGGACATTGAGTTAACAAGTGCTACATTTGCATAGGTCACGCGTCAACAACAACATAGGTCAATCTAAATATAGCCCTGTATCCGGGCAGCCGGTGTGTGGATGGAGGTTACGTGCCCCCACATTAAATTTCCGATATACATGTATATTAAATGTGACTCTTGACTCGGACTCGAATTCGACCTGCATTACTCGGGACTCGAACTCGGAGTCGGGCAATGTGACTCGTGACTCGGACTCGGATTCGATCTTTGTGACTCGTGACTCGAACTCGGATTCGGCCTGCATAACTCGGGACTCGGGAGATGTGACTCGGACTCGGACTCGGACTCGGATTCGACCTGCATAATTCGGGACTCGGATTCGGAATTGGGAGGTGTGACTTGGACTCGACCTTTGTGACTCGTGTCTCGGACTCGGATTCGACCTGCATAACCCGGGACTCGGATTCGGACTTGGGAGATGTGACTCAGACTCGACCTTGTGACTCGCGTCTCAGACTCGGATTCGACTTGCTAACTCAGGACTCGGATTCGGAATTGGGAGATGTTTGGTGACCCGAATACAAGTCTGCATAAGAGGGACCGGGAACCAGTCTAGGAACTAACATGCTAGCGCCCGCTTACGTATATACGTACCATGGAACATAACGAAGTCCCCACTTTCCATTTCAGGCATCATACACCTGTCAAATATGACATCCTTGCTATAGCACGTGGGTCCCCATAGGCATGACGGTTTGAGGTGCTTCTTTCCGACTGGCCCCTGTAATAGTAAGGATAAAACTTTCAAAATAACCTGGTTTATCATTTGTCCTTTTGATTAATTTGAGGAAAACAAAAACGGCTTCTTTTACTTTGAAAATTCTCCTTTATTGTGACGCCACATGACATATATTATGACGTCATGATGACATCAGTGAGTTTTTCATCTATAACGCATCCATGTATAGGTATATAATCAAGTTACTTCTGAATCGGACCTTTATTTCTCTGGATATAGGCCTCAGAGCAAAGTCCCTTTAATATGACGTCACACGACACATCCCAATATGAGTACATTAAGTTACAACCAAATTGGATCTTGGACATTTGAAAAGGCACGTTTAATGTGACGCCACCTAGCTTGTGATGACGTCGTCATGACGTCACAACAATGTTTACATGTGGCACGTCCCTGTTTAAGTACCCACAAAGTTTCAAGTAAATCAGACTTTTACTTCACTAGATATAGGGCTTTGAAAAAAAAACACATCTTTAATGTGACGTCAAGTGACACCCGTTGACGTCATCGCCAACTTCGGAGCCCATCTGCGGGTAGTAGTCTTTATGTGTACCAACTCTAAAGCGAATCAGATTGATGAAAGTGCCAAAGAGTACTGGTGGAAGAAATACATGTATAGACCGTATGAAAAACAAAATTATGAACCTCTAATGTGACGTAACTTGACACCTGATTACGTCATCGCGAATTCGCATACGTCTTCAGGTAGTGGTAGTGTGTACCAAGTCTGAAATCGATCAGATGTACGAAAGTGCCAAATGGTTTAAGTGTAAGAAAAACGTGTATAAAACATATGGAGAGGAGTCTGAAAAAAGGGGATGGAAACAAATAACGAAAACAAGAGCTGTTTCGGCTGAGTTGCCAAAACAGCTTAAAAAAAAAGATACTCGAAACGTACGCTGACGAAAGTTCTCCCCGTACAAACTATAAATTTAACTGTCCGGCGCCATACCGAATTCGTCGACCGGCTCCAACAATACACTGCGAAAAAAATGAACTTTCCGTGTACAATGTAAACCTCTTGGTGGGGCGCTGTATTAGGAATCGCCCGTATTGGAAAAGTGAAGTGAAGCGAGGGAGAATGTTTGAATGATTGGTAAGGCAAACACAGTACATGTCCACCGGTCTTTTTGAATTACTTGTGTCCTGCTTATATGTGGAGTGCCGAGGCCTCGTGGCTAAGGGCATTGAATTCGTGGTCTGCGGGTAATTCTGCGGGTTGTGGGTTCGAGTCCAGCCCTGGGTTATGGTGCGTGTGCCCTTGGGCAAGACACTTTGTCACTCATTGCTTCTCTCCACCCAGGAGTAAATGGGTACCTGTGAGGGCAGAGATGGTTATGTGATTGAATTAGCTTGCTTTCGCCTAAAAGGCAGCATCGAGCTGTATACTCCCCAGGGAGCTGAGATGGTATTTGGAATGTTTAATTGGCCCAATGATCAGGGGTAATAATAATACTGTAAGTGCTGTGATTTAGTTTACTAATAAGGGCATTCTTCAATGCCGAATATTATCATTATTATTATATGTGCGCATGTTCAACACCGTGGCGTAGCTCGGGGGGACCCAGTCGTCTCCCAACTGCAAATTGTGTTAGTCCCGCAATAGCCCCCCCCCCCCTCCCCCTCAGCTTCCCTGTTGTGAGAATCCCGACAACGCCACTGGTTTAATATGACGCAAACACTACAAAATACCGGTATGTTCGCTGCCACTAATTAAGTCTCCCATTGGCTAAGTATAGTCAGCAACATAAACCATTGTAACAGGTATTGTGTACCTCCAGACGAAGCAACTCGGGAACTTCAAACAAGGTGGTAATGCTGTCCACATCTCGGCCACTGAACGCATTGAAGACGCCCACATTCAGGTAGTACATCCACACAGGATGGCCTATATTATGGTGGATGGGACAGGAGAAAAGAGAACATACTTGGTCGTATGTTTAAAAACTAGCAACTGCTAAGAATATGTATAAAAACTAGCAACTGCTAAGAATATGTATAAAAACTAGCAAATGCTAAGAAGATGTATCAAAACTAGCAAATGCTAAGAAGTTTAAGCAAACATACATTTACTTTTGGGTAAAAGCATTAAGGAATTGCACATGCTTGAATTTGTATGAATCCTAGTTTTTTTTCAACATTTCCATGCCACATTTCTTTTCCTCAAACCGAGACAGCTTCTTGTATTTTGATTTTAGACACTCCCTTCTCCCTAAAAAAAGTCCCTGTATAAACATTTCCCTGCCGAACAACATCGATAAAAGCTTCTAATCTCCGCAGTAATATTTGGTTCTCCCTTTTCAAGGTTGCCCCACCCAGATTTGAAAAATATGGCTAGTAAGTACACAAAATCGGAAGTATTTATTCTTGTTTATTTATGCCAAACGAAGCCAATGCTAATATTCTCCCTAATGCTAGGAAGTAAAAAGTAGGCACTTTTAGTTTTTTAAGCAAATATTTTTTGGGGGTTTTTTTCAAGTAAAACATTTGCTTCATTTATATTCGTACAGCTCAGATGCAAGTTATTGCTTGCAAATTGGAAGCAAAAGCAAATGCTACTTTCCATACATACGACCCAATGTCACCAAAGATCTATCTCTTTTACTTGGTGTTCTTCAGTAAGACTTATCCAAATTCAATGTTTGCCCTATTCGCATATCACATTGCTACCTTAATTAGACCCGACCCGTACTAAAATGGCGTCACATGAGAAAGTTTTCAAATTGGGTACAAAGTTAAGGGCGTTTTTTAAGGGAGTGGTTGTGTGGCTTGCCGTACTTGAAGTATAACCAATGTCAATTATTGTTTGGAAATACATAACTTCCTCCCGGAAAATAGTGTTATATGTTTTATTGCATCTCCGCCATTTTTGTTGTCTCTCGTGGACGCGCAACAAATTAACGTAAACTAATTGAGCTAAATGTATCTTTCCTCCAGCACGCTTTTCATTTCGGCTACGGGATAATCAGTTTACTTTCTGCAAAGTAAACCTGTTTTAAGACAACCAATTTTGCTAAGTAGGCCCTAGTCATAATCATAAGCATCCATGTTCAAGAGATACTGATTGAAATAAACATGAGTAGACTGGGGTTTCAACATAATGGGAACGATGTTATCTTATTTATTCTCTTGTGTATAATTATTTGCATTGAAGGTCTCAAGAAGCAGAAAATAAACTCGCAACGTGCACGTAAACGGTGTTGCGTTCGTCACGTCTAGCGCGTAATTTGTATCTTTCCTCCAGCACGTGACCCTCCAGGCAAGGCCGTGCGTATGCACGCGCTGCCAATCTAGTATTTTTATATATATCTATGATTACGGCACGTGACGTACGAAACTTTTTTGCTATTCAAAACTCGCAATGCCTGTACGATATGGATTATAGCCAAAAAAAAGAGAAAAACCTGTATCTTCGGTTGTGAAGGGACGAAAGGGGTACGTACGTACATTTAATACAAATCTTTTCTAAATAACGCAACGTCCAAACATTATGTTTAAAAGGATTGATTCTTAAAAATAACAACTTTCAACATTTTAAAAATGGCGTCGGCACGTGAAACGGTTACTGCAGCCTTATTATAATGTGCCATATTTTCACACATTTAAATGAGACAAATCCAGGGGTTGAGATCGCGCAAGGCATGATGGGAAACAACATGGCGCAGCAAGATCTTGTACCCATTGGAACAAGGTTTGGAAAAGCAAGAAAAAACAATTATGTTCCAGTTGTCTGATTCCCTGACCCCACTTAAGATGAAACAGAGCAACTTATAGACGTCTGGGAATTGTACGGTCAGGGAATCAGTCTAGCTGGCTTGAACCCGTTCATAGGTGTGTAAACGTTTGCAAACAAAATGCGTACTAACTTAATATGGTAAATTGGGGGTAGTATTTGAAAAAGCCCGGTTTGTTCATACGCTGGTCGGCCAACCAGCGATGGAAATTGATATTCAAAAACGCTCTTCTCGAAAATGACAGCACACCAGGGGACATGATTTTACAGGATGCGTTAGACTGTCATTAACTAACAGTCCAGTAAGGTAAGCCTTTTTCATAATAGTCTGGTAGTTTTGTTTGTTGATGTTTGTTAATATTGTATATTCCCACTTAGTCTATTTGGGGACGCACCAAAGGTACGTCGCCCCTCCACATCATGCGAATCAACAAATACAATCCTGCTTCTCAAGATATACAATACCGTTCGTGCCGTTGGTTGTTCCGTTAGTGCCGTTGGTTGTTTCGTCCTTGCCTGGCCTGTAGAGCCGTTTGGCCATGACGTTTGCCACCAGGTACCCAGCTGATTGCGTGTAAAATGTTCCCGGTTCAGCTATGACCTTCACGCCCATGCTTGGCGGGAAGTTTTCCTCCAGGGCCTCTCGGACTGCATCTGCATACTTTGAGGTAACATGAACGGTGGGGAAATGGTAAGTCAAGATATGATGCCTCTCGCCTACGAATATCAATCAGAGGGCAACCAACCGTCTACCTAAAAGAACTTAAACAACTAAAGTTCTACATAATCAAAGTTTGTTATAACTCTGACCTAAAGTGCCGGAAAAGTAGGCATTGTGTATGCCGGGATATAGCAGACGTTCATATTTTTTTTTTTTTAATAGTTAGGAGGGATGTCCGAAAAATGTCTTTCAGGTACAGAAGTATTAGCACAAGGTTCTACACGCCATCTTCGGAAAATCAATACGCGTCCCGAGTTGTTTACTTCACAAAGCGCCATCGAGCGTTTCTAAACGATTTCCACGAACCCAGGTCAAACTAAGGATATAACCTGCTTAAACCAGTCAAACATTGTTCAGCTGTTTATGTACCTTTTCGAAGGGTTTTTTTGCGTGCAATCTCCCGGGGAATCCTCCGCCGATGTCCAGCAGATCCATGTCTAATCCCAATCCTCTTCCGGCCTCGAAAATAGACCGGGTGTGTCGAATAGCTTGGACGAAAACTTTCGGGTCGACCGAATGGATGTTGCCGATGTAAAAACTTCGGGGAAACAAATATCACATTTAATGGCAATCCCAATTATGAAAACGTTAGAGAAAGAAACTAGCGTCGAACATTTTTTACCTCGCACCACAAACGGACAGTCCTAGCTCCTTAGCAAGCCCCAACAGAGGGCGCACTTTACTGTCCCGGCATCCGAACTTGATTGGCATTTTCCAGGCGTCAAAGCGTAAGCGAAGTACCAACCTGTGGAGAATCAGAGTGAAAACAATGAAAATATACGCTCGATGCGGCATTGAACCAAACTTCCCTGTTGAAAATACTGTCGAATAAACAGGTCCTAAGCCAACACAATTTGGCGGGGTACAAGCACGTCGCAGATTAGCGTGGGGCAGAAAAAATATGCATATTATACAACATTGGGAACAGCGCTCTATTCTGTTGATCACATGGGAGTTTTGGGGATGTGTACTCTTGATTCAAGAGTACACATCCCAAAAACTCCCATGTGATCAACAGCATTACATTATATTGTAGCACCCATTGTGTTTTCATGTGAATAAATATATAGGCCTATGTTCTTTTCCTACACGAAGTACTTCCCTCTCCCGTCAACATTGCTGTCGATCATTAACAGTCTTTATTTGACGTACATACACCCCAAAAGCACTCACTTGGCCTCCGGGTACACGCGTTTGACCATGTACAGCTCTTCTTCCGTGTCAAAGGTCATGAGACTGACCCCTTTCTCCCTCGCAAAGCGTAGATGCGATTCCTGTTTGAAGGGATGAGCAAAGATGATGCGATCTGGACTCGCTCCTATATCAAGCACCGTCTGTATTTCTTTCTGCATAAACACAGCAAATTAAGACAATCGCGTCACAGGAAAAAAAAAAGAAATCCGTAAAAATGTTGTAGCCAAAGATATAACGTAGGCCGTGTTTTAATAGAAAACTGCAAATCAGAAGGCAAGTGGTGAAGATTAGAGTAAAGATACAGAAAAAAGTACAGAGAAAGAAAGGGAATCTGTTGGTATTAAGCTGGAACTCTTTCAAAAACCACTGAAACGGAAAATGCTTAAACATGTGTCGCGCTAAACACGCGAATGGCGTAGTCGCTACTTTGTAAACACCGAGCGAACACTAAACTTTGTCCCAGTCTCTCGTTCTCTCACCTTACTGCTGCAATCAAAGCCTCTACCTAGTCCAAGCATTAGTCGCAGTACAACTGGATCCGGGTTACTCTTAACAGCTGCGTGCGAAAAATGACAAGGTAAACGAAATTTTAGAGTTTGGAGTTTTAAACACACATCTAAACACCTTTTTGTACCCACATTTTAAAGATGTTTAAATCCACGACATGTTTAGATTAATAGATTTATGTGACATGTTTATACACGTACAAAGGCTCATATAGTACCGTGTAGTATAAATTATAAAGGTAAATAAAATCACTTATCGAGTGGAAGTCACATGACAGGCTAAATGCACAATTTTATCACACTTTCATTTTCACCTTTCTACCAGAAAATGAACCTTACAATATACATTGGACTTTTTTGTATGTTACTATTTATGGCACTTCAGGCTTTCGTACTGTGCAACATCCTAAACAAGGCTAAACATATTTAAAAATGGCTACAAGAAACGTATTTATGGAGGAATTGGTCGAGTTGGGAATCGGTTCCGGAATTGTAGATGACTCTTTTTAAAAGGCACCCTCCCCTCAGCAATATGGCTTTGCACCACTCTTTCCTTTTGTTTCATTTTCATTTTCTTTTTTCCTGTTGAGTATTCTATTTTTTGTTTTCATTTTTCAGGGAGGGGGGGGGGGGGGGCAAGCGCATCCCCCCTTGCCGCCCCCCCCCCCCCCCCCCCCGCTCGCGACACCCTTGACACTCTTTTTTTGGCCTTACTGCCAGTAAGAGTCATCTACAATTTATGAACAGATTCCGGACTCTTACAATGTGTTTGGTTATTCTTTGCAATATTTCTACACTTTGTCAGAATCTTGTATGGATTCCTCATGATTTCTTTACTGTCTTTGGTCAAGAAGCTATTGTTATCGGGCGATTCGCAATGCAGTGCGCCACCAAGCGTTTGCCATGGAGAGTCAATTTTTCAAGTTTACGGTCGACAAAACATAACCCATTTAAACGAGTGTCAGTGGACAACTTTAGCTTATTTGTTAAGGATTGGGGCATAGCGTTCTGCCGCCTCTCAATAAGCACCATATTGATAAAAGAGGGCCAACAGATACTCGAATGATATGCTTACGAAACTACTAACCGGACAAACTAGCAATTTCAAATAGCCCATCCTGTGAATGGGTTGACATTCTCCCACAATGCACTCGCAAAAAAATATGAACTCTCCGTGGCAAACTCTTAGTGGCGCACTGCATTGTGAAACACCCGAATTAGTAAGCCATGCAAAAAAGTGCTGGCTACCATGATCTATCACAATTGTGCTAAGTATAAGATAAGGGCGCGATGTGGCGGTTCTGTATCTGTATTATTATAGTCGGTAAAGCATCCCAGGGGAAACATCACACCAACTTACATAGAGAATACAATGAGAAGGAATAACAGTTTTAGAAATGGGAGGAAAAGCCCAGAAGATATTCTGGGGAAAACCCACGGAATCAAGCAGGGACTGAAAACCCAATCCACAGACGGGATTCGAACCCCGGTCACAGCGGTGGAAGGCGAGAATTAAAAGTACCGCTACGCAAAACCTGACTCCCCTGAACGGTTGGCATAGCAATCATAATGTTAAGAAAACGTCGACGCTTCAAGAGGCTGAGTGCATACTTGCAGAAGGTTTGTCTACTGTTCCTGTGAAGAATCCCGTAATGTCTTTCAGCGAGAGCAAGGCTTATACAAGCTGCGGCAATACGTGATTTAATTTTGCTCGTTGTATATGATACGGATTGCGTGATATAAATTAATCAAAATCATATGATATTTTTCCAACATCATCATGCTTGTAGGTTTACATTTTGACGCTGATGAATGAGGCTATAGGAAAAGTATTCATATCACGAAACGCTGACTTACCGAAGAATGTCTCAATTTGGGGCAGCGTCTCTCTCCACTGGTTGTCCTTGGACACGACGTCACCCAGGTCATATATAATAAACGGGTCATCCAGATCCTGATAAGAGACAGATGAAGTCACAAGGTGTTGTAGGGGCAATATAGCACAGCAGACCTGTTCAACCAACTTGTTATTATGCTCACGAGACGCCGAGGTCAACCACAACCAAACCATTTAAATGGCCCCCATTTAAAATAGATTACCTAAGTAAAAGCCGTACAGTGGATCTTTTACTTGGTGTGTACTGGTATATTTTGGTTCTCACGTAACAATATAGTAGTCTCTCGTTAAACTCAGCCGGACCAAGCATCAATGTTTGTTATATCAGAATTGTGTATTACGTAGAGGTGCACACCGGTAAATAGGCCAAAATCCATCAGCCGAGCTCATGAATAAAAGTTACACCCTCAAAATATGCTATATTAGAGAGTTCTGAGCGCCGTAAAAAATGGGAAATTGAAGAGATATGGTAATGAACCTCTGGCCCGGACTTGGGGCTTCCAATTCTGAGCATTTTGGATGCTATTGGGCTCGAAAGTGGCGCTGTTTTGCCATGTTGTGGAGGGATCGTTTTTTCAAGATGGCTACTTTTCCGCTTTAGGGAAAATAGGGGTCGTCTTCTTTGGGTGAGAATATTTCGAAAAGTCAATTGGTCAACCCACAAAAAAATGTAAAGAAAACGAAACATGACATGTTGAACATCATTTTTCTGTGCAGCTTGAATACCTGTGAGAGTTCTGAGTATTTTTAAAAGAATTTTGAAGTATGGGCATTTAGCACTAGTGTCTATGGGAATTTATTTGCAGGGTAGCATCCGTAGGGTGCGGGTCCCATTCCTTGTGCACATAAAACGCAGTCGGGACCAAGGCTTAATGTTTGCTCTAATGAGTTCGTCTTAACTGTGTTTGTATTAACGAGGGGCGACTGTAGAGCGACCAGGGACCATAAAAGAGAGGTTCGGGTACCGGATAGCATGTGTTACGTAACCCACATTATATACATCTTAACATTTTGAAGCAAATTGCAAATTACCAATGGTGTGTTTGATGAAATAACCGCAGAAAAACGAAACAGGGACTTGATTGACGTCACAACTAACAACTATACCTACCGATTCATCATAACGTCTCCATCTATAAGTTAGAAATACCGGGTCCGGTTCGATTCCTGAATCCTGACACTTGTTCGCGTCAAAGCGTCAATATTTTTGCTATTCGTATCAAAATGACACCTTTCTGAAACAACGTGACAATATTTCATGTCAAAAGTGACTTGGAGAAGTGTCATTTTGACCCGGCAAAGGGTAAGGTCAAATCTGACCCGCATTCAGTTGAAGTCTGTCTGCCCGTTACTGATTAAAATTTTAAAGTTGTGCTAGGTTCACACATTCCCGAGCTTTAAGCCGAATCGCCGCAAATAGCAATTCTTGAGTTAATCGGGGAATGGTTCTTGGCTGCCTCGGGATGATTCAGTTAGTTCGGTGAAAGATCGTTAAAAATCGGGAAGCGCCCCGACAATTTTCGACATATTCAAAATTGTCGGGGTGATTCGGGAACCAATTTCAATTTTTGGTTTATTCTTGGTGTATTCGTAACTAATTATGGATATTCTTACAGCATTCTTACCAGTTTCGTAGAGTTATCCTTGGTGTTAACAGTCCAGTCCAGAATCATGTCGAATCATTATGAATGTATCAAGAAATGTAGGAATATTATAAGAATAACTTACGAATACACTAAAATGTTGTTAACAATAAATAAGAATAATCTAAGAACTTAGCAAGAATGAATCACGAATAATGCTGAATTATCCAAATTTTCCTAAGAATTTATTTAAAATAACCAACAATCAAGCACAATTTAATACGAATTGATCCAGAATAGTCCCGAATGATGTTGAGATCTACGCTACTCGGCAAACTGGGACTGGCTAGAACGCTTGTCTGGATCGGTTTATATACCAGGATCGCCTGGATTCGGCCTCGTTCTGGATGATTCAAGCTTGTTCTAATTGAAATCGCTTAGTTCGGGGTTGTTCGCATTACATTCGGTTTATTCGGTCTTTGTTCTTATGAAATTCGTAATGAAATCGGCATAATTGTGGGTCATTCTGAATGATTATGGAGCTATTCTTATAATTAATATTGACGACATCTCTACAATTCGGCTTTAATCTGCACTAAATTGCAATCATTTGGCTTGATTCGGTCTTATTCGGCTTCCATTTCGTACCTAGTTCTTGATTATTTCTGTTTCATTCTTAAGTTATTCTTTCAAAAGCGAATCGGGGATAATTCCTCCCGATGCCATCAAGAATTTGTATTCGGGATAGCTCGGGGCATTCGTGGCAATAATTCGGGAATGTGTGAACCTAGCATTAGGTTGAAGGTTGCCGACACATGGCATGCCCCAGGATACACGTTATTTGAACGAACAAGTCTCTAAACAGTAATCACTGACCTCTCGCTCTGGTACAGTTGTAAACTTGACCTTCTCCAGTGCGATTTCCCGAATGGTGGTTCCCTTGCCGTAGAGGCTCAGTTTAACTGTAGGGCTTTCGAACAGCTCCATACCGAAATCGGAACAGTCCCGACTGATGAATTGGGAGGAAGACGACCGAAGATATTCTGTTTGCTATTCAAAAAAAAAAAAAAAAAAACCTGGACCGAATTGGAAGATGTTGGTTTCATAATTCTTCAAAACTGACTCACCATCAATTGGTACAGGTGGTTTGAGTCTCAAGGAAGTGAAAGAATGCCGTTCCCTGTTTTTGTTTTGTTTTTGTTTTTGTGTTTTTGACCACGCTGTTTGTTTTTTTCACAACAGGAGAACACTGACGTCCACACCACTGTTTAATTTAGGCAATTACATTACCTAGTATTTCAACGAACGGATGACGTCCAGCTACCGCAGTGTACCCTAGTGGATCCTGAGATTTACTATCGATCGAAATGTCCCTTTTTTTTAATCCACTGATCCTTTGTTTTCCCTTGACATTTTTTTTCACCAAATTGATCGTTTAGGTATTTTTTTTAATCAAGGGAAATAGTCCGATCTGGCCTCGAAGTCTGTCAAGCCAGCGAATTATATTTTTGAACATTCATGAGTCTACGTTTTTGGTCTTTATTATTGCATTCTGATAAGTGATAACTTCATAACCATGGTAACGCCGAGCACAGTATCTTTAGCTTTAAGATGAACAATGAAATGTCGTTTTTGTTTCATCGGTTCAGCATCCTATCTCTCTAAAACGTTTTAATAAAAGCCTAATTAAAAACGAAATTTTACGTTTATTTCCCGGGTAAATACTTCATCTATGACGACAAAAACTGCACAATACCATCTGTTATATCCTGAGGTATTTATTTTTAAAATAATTTGGAACAATTATATCTTAAATAAGAAGTAGTTTTACTTACAGTTTTATGAATATTTCCGTTTTAGATGTCGTGCAAAAACCCAACAAAATGGCACATCTGGAAAATTCGCGATTATATACGCACCAACGGGTATTAATGCCCGTTATCACGCGTCTTACCAATTAAGGCAAGTCCACTGAGTGCATTTTGTACTAGAGCTCAGAACAGTCGTTTATCCTGGTGTCTAGGATCCGTGGTGAAAGCTTTGGCCCATTTGGTCCCTGCATTACGTAACGAAACAATGGAATAAAAGGTTCAGTTCTTGAAGCGTTCGCTCGAAGGCCGTTTTAAATGCTTAGTGCACTGCCATGCCATACCATTTGCTGCAATGCATCCGTGTGCGTCGTTCGTATCTCTGTTAGCATGGGCGTCGCTAGAACAGTTTAAATAGGGGGGGGGGGGGTTGTTGGACCAGATTTGCCGACGGGTTTGGGTACAAAGAAATCCGACAAGAAAAAAAAGAAGAAAAAAAACGGTCCCTCAAATTTTCAAATTTGCCTACAGAAAAATGTATGGGAGGAATTAAATTAAAATTTGCCGACAAACTTGCAACGAAATACTTGACAAGCACAAAAAAAACCCAGATTTAAAAATTTGCCGGCTACGGTAATATGATATGAAAAAAGGGCCCTACATTGTACACATTTCCCGACAACAATTATGAATTTACCGAAACAGACATTTTGAATGGGGGGTGTCATCCCCCGCAACCTTCGCCACCACCCCCTCTAGCGACGGCCCTGTTAGCTCTGGCAAAATGTCGCCAATGATTATGATTCGTTCATATGGTTACAGACCAGCAAATAAACTTCCATAGACCCCAATGGTAAATGCTCCCAATTCAGAAATTCGGGAAATTTACTCACAACTCTCCAAGGTGTTCGAGACACACATCAAATTAAAATTCCATTATCTTTCATTTTCTTTTCAATTTTTTTGGGGGTCAACTGATGACTTTTGGGAGAAATTTCCATCCGAAGATGATCACCCGTAAAAATAGTCATGAAGCCCAGAGCGCTTGAAGGGCCCCAATTTCATCCAAATTGAACGGAACTACACGCTCACAGTCCTGTGTACGGCTTCCACCCATATTTTTTACAAACCCTCAAGTTCATGGCCCACAGCATGCTCAAATACTGAATATTTTGAGAGACAATTTCGGACCGATTTACTGGTCTGGAACCTATAAAGAAGGGAGTGGAGGTTTTGAACATTTTCCCCAAACCACTTGTACGGCACGAAGAAGGATGGATGACTCATATTTCATCAAAAAATTGCGAGAAAAAAATCTCTGACTGCGATTTCTGGCCTGAAAAAAAGCCCTCTGTTTGCGGTTACCTTGCTGTAGGGCGCCCCCAACGGGAGTTAATTGGGTTTTTGCTCCTTCCAACCCCAAATTACCCTCCCCCCTTGTTCGCTCGACATTGCTTTGATTGGACGACGGTCCATCAGCCCCATTCAGATTTTACTCGCATTTGTTGCGGAACCGCCATTGGTGACCTCTTTTGAAACGCTGCCCCCCCCCCCCAGTCCCGCCCCCTGAAAAACCACTGTCGTGGAATTTCAAGCGCATGCGCACACATTTGACAACGAACGATGGAAGGCGCCATTTTGAAATTATAAAGAAGCGAGGTTTTGAAAAATTCCCCCAAACCACGTGTACGGAACGAGGAAGGATGGATGACTCATGTTTCATTAAATAATTGCGAAAAAAACTGCGATTACTGGCCTGAAAACAAACCCTCTGTTTGCGGCTACCTTGCTGTTGGGCGCCCCCAACGGGAGTTAATTTAGTTTTTGCTCCTTCCAACCTCAAATTACCCCCCCCCCCCAAGCCCGCAGAAACGGGGGGTGCTGTGGGTGCTGCACCACCCCCAACTTTTTGGATTGGGGTGCTGTAATATGCTTCAGCACCCCCTATTCCCGGGAAAAAATGTGTTCCAGCCAGCAGTGTTCTACGACGATGAAATTACGCCGCTACGGCTATACATTATGCTTGCTCTACAAATATCTCCTTCGTTTTGTTCTTTTCTAGTTTTGACGCGGCTCAGCGCGGCGCTTCGAAAGTCTACACCAAACTGGGACGAACTCCTCTGATCATCGAGTTATACTCTGTGATACTAATCAGTGTCTCTGAAGATCCTGTGTCGATCAGAAATGGCAACGAGTGTTGGTCGATTTTCCCTTCCACATACACCCCATGAAGTGCTCCTATTTCTTTTGGATGCGACTGAACCGTTTCTCGATCTGAACCATCCTCCTCAATCCCTAATATTTCTTTGTCTCCACGACCACCACCTTGTTTGGGTCTGGTTCTGCTAGTGACCTCCCCATGACCCGCTGGGTTGGTCCTGCATCGTTTCCCGACTGTGGGTTGGTGTTGAGTTTAGGGCAGTCCCGTTTAAAGTGCCAAATTTCTCCACAATTGAAACAGCCTGGCTTCCGTTGTGGCTCCCCCTCCCACTTAACATGTTGAGGAGCCTCTTGCTTCATTGCTTCAGTCAATCTCGACATCAATTGATGCAATGTCTGTAACTGTTCCGACATTGCCCTTGTTGGCTGTTCAAACTCCTTTCTCGAAACGATTTCCACTTGTCTTGTTGTTCTGGGATTTCTATCTAACCGTCCACCCTGGGCTCGTTGCCGCTGTCTCTCTGCATTTAGAAATGACTCCGTTTCTAATGCTGCTCTAACAGCCTCGTCCAGTGTCTTGGGGTGAGCCCTAGATATTCCAGCTCGAATTTCTGCATCTGGTATGGCATCCACTACGTGCTCTCGTGCCAGACGCTCTCTGCTGTCTCTCGGGAGCTCTGGATACGCCAGCTCTGTCAGTCGACGTATGCCCTGCCCAAGCTCCTGCAAACCTTCACCCGTTTTTCTTGTTCTGCTTCGCAGCTCCGCTAAAAACGTTTCGGCTTGCTCACCAGGCCCGTATCTCCTCTCCAGTCTCTCTGTGAGCTCCAAATAGCTCAACACATCACCGGAGACCCTGTCTCCCAACACCTGTTGAGCTTGACTCTTCAGACTAGCCGCTAGGAAATATGCCTTTTCTTCAGCCGAACAGACATTGATGACCGCACAAGACTCAAAATGGGCCTTGTAGTCTCTCCATGGGATAGCCCCGGCGAATCGGTCAGGAACAATGCTCGGTTTGCGGTGGACTCTGCCTTCCACTTTGGCACCCACAGCTGATTTGGGTAGCTCCACCCCCTGCGACACCGTTGGGACTTGTCAGGAGGGTTCAATGAGAGCCCTGCTGCTCCTTGCCCAATCGCTGGCTGACTTTGCTGCTGCAACCCCGTGCTCATGATTCCCGCTGGCGTCCTTGTCGGTGCGGTAACCGAAGGCTGTTGTGGAGTTTCGTGAAACTGGTGCTGCAAATTACATCTCACCTCATCCGTCAAAAACGGATTGCCGCTCGGAGTTGTAGTCATACTGTAAGCTGAAACTGCAAAACCATCTCGTTGCAATGGGCCAGCTTGTCTCTGCCAGGATGCACTGCTCGGCTTGGATACGGTTTGGAACCGACCTATAAAACCTTGATAAGCCAGCGCCTCCACCCGCCTTGGTCCCGGATCCACTGGTGTGGAAATATACCCTGGCCAAGGAGACGATAATGATGGGTAGATTACTGATGATGCCCCTCCTGCGACCTATAGGGGAAGTTCCTGTGACCTCTTGTCCAACTGGACATCCTTTGTCTGCCCATCAGTTGCCGCCAGCGCCAACATTACTCCACCTGCTCCTTTCACAGAGCTTTGCCCCAGCTAAAACGTTGTGGTTGATACCATCGGCGTCAACCTCGGAGGTGATGGTGTCACCACAGACTGCAGTGTTATGCTTGTCCTGCTCACCACCCTTGCTGGTGTCTGAGAGTATCCCATACTCGCTGGTGTCCCCGAGTAGCCACTACTCGCTTTTATTCCGGAGTCTCCACTCCCTTCCAGAATTCCATCCTGATGTTCCATTTTTGCAGGCTCCAACAGCTTATCACCACGGTGGATCCCACCGCTGCCACCAATGTAACGTGCGTAGCCAATCGGTTTCCCTAGCCCTGCAAGGTCTAATGACGTCAGCACCTGCGGTTGAATGCCACAGCTCCGGTGATGCTTCTAGTTGATCCCTTTTATACCTCAGTGGTAGTGTGGATTACTTGTGGTTTGATTTGGGGGCGGGGGTGACCTAGTGGATTGGGTGGATCACTGTTGA